AACTGGCATGGTACCCTGTGGTATTTCCTAAGAGCAGTGACATCAGAACGGATCTACTGCCACCAAGAGGAGAATCAAATTTATCTGCTCTCCTGTGCTGAAGTCTTCTGATATTTTTCAATATAGGAGAAGGAGAAAGTAAGGGGAGAGAAGAGGTGAGAGGGCGGGTGATTCATGCTTTGAATGACTTCTATCTTTCTGTTCAGTTCATATTAATTTAGGCTCCTAATTCCATGTGTTCTGATCAACTTCTCAGTTACTTGTAATGTGTGGTGTGAATATTCTCCTATACATTATTTTTTGGCAAATATCACTAACATATACTTTTGTGATCTATGCAAAGTAACACTTCCTCAGAAATTCCTCCTCCTTTAGTATAAAGAAGTGTGTTCACCAGAAAGGAAACTGTCAGTCATACTTCACTGCACACACTAATGTTTCTAAGGATGTAGTGAGAATTATTAAAGAGAATAATCACCAACCTGTAGAAAAGGTTTGTTGACCAATAAAGCTCAACAAAGGTATTGGGAACAATTCTGTTAACTGCAGCTTATTCTCAAGGGGCAGATGTGTGTCTGGGTTTCACTAGCAGGTTTAGCTACAGAGTGTCTGTTTCAAAAGAGGTGTCCTGATTTCAGTGCAATTTGAAAAACAATTTCCTTGATAAAATGTGATGTATAGAATGCATCACAATCTATCTTTTCTTTATAGAACAATTCAAGAAGAGAAAATCTCTGAATTCAATCCACTTTATGTTGTTCTTGGCAAACTCCAAAATATATATATACTTGATCAAAATTCTTACTCTAAAAATAACCCATAATAATGTGCCATTTGCCTGCTGTCTAGTTATCTCAGTAGGTCCTAAAATATCAAAATCATCTTTTTGAGTCTGGCGTTCATCTAGTGCTGAATACTGGGGTTTTCCCATTAATGAGGTCCCATATTATAATAGGTTTATTAGCTGCAAACATTATCCTACAAAAATAACCGAGGTCATTAATCTATTGATATCCCTGAACTTTCTATGGCAACTCAGTACTTAGACATGTATCACCCTTTCCTTTCCTATGAAAGTAGTCAATTCTTTCAATTAAAAATTGTACATAATAGAAAAAAATTGGGGGGTGGGGGGCTTCCAGATCAGATGTAAGCAAGTAGAGAAATCTAATCAAATAATATCTAACATGTTCTGTTGCCTTCTGAAGTTGGAAAATGTTAATATTATAATCTCAGAAATAATTCCTCAGAAAGAGAAATGTCATGCAGAGTGTTGGCATTCACTGGTACAATGATGTCACTGCTGGATGGATCACTCTAGGCAGACATTATTTACTTTATGCTTCACAATAAAATGGGCCATTCAAAACTTCTGCTATCCTACATCCACTTATCTATTTTTTTTCTTCTAGTTCATGGTACTTTCTTCAAACACAAGAAGCTTGGTATGCTTCTCAAAATAATCAGAAATCTATGTTAAAAATTAACACAGTTTACAGTTATACAGAAAGAAAATGACGGGAAAAGATAGCATATCAAAATATCTGGTTTATTTCGTGGTTTTCCAAAATACTTTTCCAGTGATGACAACAAATATATCAACCAGATCAGTTTCCTTTGATGGTGACTGGAAGATGTGGAATACTATGGCTCCACACCTCTTTCTGTAGCAAAGAAATCAAGAAGTGGGCCAAGCCAAACCAGCTGCTACAAATACAGATCCAGCTACAAGCATGACACAACCTGACAATGTTGGGGTGAGATGTGGAAATGCAATCAACTCTTTTGCATGCTGGTTCCTGTGCAAAAGAAATGCAAGTGCTCAGATAGAAATTACAGTATTCTCTGAGTTAGCTGGTCTTCTAGTAGATCAGCAGACCATGCATGCATAGAGAGTTTTTGTGATTTTAATTCTTGCATAAGAACATATTTGTGATTCACTGTTTTTCCTCCGAAGTTGTTTATACACAAAGTGAATATGATGATCACACTGTCACTCCTTTTTCTTTCAGTATTTTTCAGCTGAGCAAGATACACAGGATTTATCTACTGTCATGGATCCATTAACATAATCTCAGTTAAATGAGTAGCCTTAATTCTTACATCAGAATTAGTAACACACACTCCCTACAGATATAACTGCTGTGCTGATCATCAAATTGTTGCCCTCATATGAAAAAGTATCTGATTACAAAGCAAAGAGATGATAGCTTTTACATGGCCTTCATGACTGACAACATATCTGTCTGGAGAATGGTTTGATACCAAAAAAGTATCCTGGAAAATTCTAGATAACTAAGATCTGCTAGTGAAATATAGCTGAGTACTGGGAAAAGCTGGGAAATGGAGATCCAGAGCTGAGAATTTTAAGTGCAAAGTGAAAAGCAAAGTAGATTTCAAGCCAGCAACAGCTGGTAAATTAGTCTCAGAAATATAATTACTGAACACCCAAGTAATACAAAGTAATTATGTCTATAAAATGAATTATAAAGACAAAAGAAGAGGGAAGCCTTGGTGGTTTGGTGGGTAAAGGTATCCTTTCTATTTCTTATCCCAAACTCTGTGCCCATATCAAGTATTTTCCTAAAAGAACAAAATAGGGGTTTTTCTCTATGATTTTACAAGGTTGATGTAGCTAACTTTCCAGGGTTTCTGGTAACTCACAGGTTTGTGACCCTCTGACTGAGTAAACCAACTGACTGGATCCAAGTGGTCAAAACTGATATTCATGGCTACAAATAAGTATATGGTGAAGCACAATTGTGACATTTTATTACTTCAGTGCAAAAGCTCTGACTGAATTAATCTAAATGTCCTGCAACTGGCATATGAATAATGGTTCTGTAGTTAATGGATTATTAAATATTTAACTGCAAACTAAAAACCTAAATTCAAATTGCTGAATTGACATAAAAAGGAAATGTAATTTTGCATTAAGGAATAAGTTCAATGCAGCTTTGAATGTGGAGCTGTCTTCAATTTATTTATAATTCAATAAGTGGATATGAACTATTTAAATACCTTTTGATTGCCAACTTGTATATATAGGCTTTGATTTCAAAGGAAGTCTGGGTTTTCCTATAAATAGAAGGGCAGGAAATAGTTTGACTAGTAAACAAGTCTCAGTGGTATCAAAACATTAACCATTCTCTGTTCCTCTTCAGTTACAACTAATAGTTTGAGGTACTGCAGTCACAGAACAGATTGTATAATAATCTGCTTTGGGAGGCACTTTCTGGATGTTACCATGTTTAAAAACATGTTTATGCACACAAACACCAAAAGATGCGTCTCAGAAAGCAAGATGTCAGCAATAAGATTGCTTTATTAAACTTGTAATAAAGAACTGTCCTCGAGTTCCAAAATGCAGCAGAGTTTCTTAAAAACATGAACTACATTCTGCAGTGATCTGAGAGAGGACAAATAATTTTACAGCATTGATTCACTGCCTTATGTACCTGACTGCATAGGTGCAAAAATGGTCTAATTTCCCACAGAGTAAACCCTGATTTTACAGAAGTCGAACAAGTTGTTCTCATTCCCGTATCTTTAAAAACTTGTTCGAATCCTAAAACAGATACAATTTTACTTGGACTTATGTATAAAATAGTAGACTATTGTGTGAGCCATGTAAAAAAGTTCTAGAGTAGGTTTAATCTGCATTTTAATATGCTCAGCATACTTAATCCACTTTTTGTTTAGTTGCAGATCACTATTCTGGAAGTAGGAATGAAAGAGTTCAGTTTTATGTTATTTTAAGTTGTGCTGCTTTTCTTTACAGGTTATTAGCAAAGTACAGGCAATGCAGTTCCTGATTATGCCTAAACTTGTAGGCATTGCTTTTTGAAAGTAATATCATTGCTGTGATACTTCAGACAAAATGTAATTCTTCTCCCAGGAAACAAAGTTGATTTATAAATTATAACAATTACATAGCTTTTTTCAAAATCTTTATCCTAATAATTCAATACAGATAGTTTTTTTCTAGTAAAACTTAGAGTAATTTTTTTTACTACAATTTTTTTTCCAAGATCAGTTTAAATGGAGAAAAGGTGTTTGTCCATTATGCTAGACTTTCTTGCATTTAACCATAAGTTAAACAGGCTAAATTATCTTCTTTTAATTTATGAGAAGATATGTGACGAGTAAACAGAACACTCTGGTTACGTTAGTGTAGCTTATAGTAATTCAGACAGTATTGACAATTTCCAAAAAGATAGTTGTGTCTTTTGGAAAAGACAGGATTCCTCTAACTGCTAAAAAATTCATAATCAGATGAAGCTAAGTGACTCAGTGAGGTTCTAAAGGTAGAAATAGCCTAGATGTATAGTCAGAAATAACAAGAGATCCAATTATTGCATGGCATGGAGAGATGGTTTTCATCTCTGAGATATGCCAAAGAGAACATTCTAGCTGGAAGAACTCATCTGAGGTAGGGTAAACAAGTATACTATGAAGAGCTCTATTTGGAAGCTGTTCCTGTGAAGCTGTTGGATCTGTATTGGTTTGACAATCAATATTATCTATATTGTCGGTATTCCAATTATTTGTTATTTAATGCCTGTCATTGCATGGACAGTGATATTACTGGTATACACTCGCAGACTGAGGAAGAATTTCAAGATTCTTTAAAATTTTGTGGAAATACCCAGTTTTATTAGTTATTACTTCATCATTAGTTTTTATTTCCCAAGAAGGAAGAATTAAAATATCCTTATCATTCAAACATCAAAAATTACTTTTTAACACCATTTCTTTACACAACCATGTCTAGTGTCATAGTCCTGTTGAATGATCTTTTGATACTGCTTCTTGCTAGATAATGCATATCCCTTCAATAACTCTAATTATACAAAATGTAAGCATTTTGAGGGCCCCAGCCTAACCCGAAGATGTGGATTTGATAGTTTAGACTAAACTGTCAACTGTTGCTTTGACCTACCAACTTCTGCTAATATTTTTGTGCCTGATGTTTATTTTTTCTTTTATCTACCCTACAGGGCTCTATGAAAACTATCCAACCAATGCAGAACCAGAATGCTGTGATGTCAGATGGGGACTATTATCAGATCATCAATCCAAAGGGACTATAAAAACAAGTGGCTCAACAATGTGTCACAGGACATCGCTCACAGTTTCATCAGCATCAAGACTGTGTAACAGCAGACTTAAACTGTGTGTTCTTGTATTAATTCTCTTACATACAGTACTTACAGTCTCAGCAGCACAGAACTCAACAGGACTGGGCTTTGGAGGCATAACAACTTTGGAAGATAATTCTACCAACGAGGAATAAAAGAAAGGATTCATCTTATATGACAGAAACACAACAGGCCCAAACGACTACAGTCAAAAATAGCAACGACTGAGTGCTTTACCCTCAGATATCTTCTTGAATGATCTTTTGGGTAAAATGAAAATGGGCCACTACCCAAACAACAAGGACGCATGAACACAGCTTTTTATTGACTAAAAGGCTGTATAGTGACTTAAATTTCTCACACCATTTTATACACTGTGTTTTAATGTTTGGAGTTTCTTTTTTGTTTGTTTTTTGCACTTGTTAATACAGGATTTTATTTTTGGGACGGTTTCTCAAAGCTAAATTAAGTCTTTTCTCTGTCGATATATTTCTAGTCATTGTGTGTGTTCATCTGATAGTTCTGTCTTTTATGTCCTGTCAGTTTCTATTAGAGGAATGACTGCTATGATTTCATGACATAGCAAAAAACCAACAAAAAACAACAAAAAAACCAACAAAACAAAAAAAAACCACAAAAAGAACAACAAAACAAAATTTAAGGGAAGAAAAAAAAAAAAAGCAACCACAAAAAACCCCAAACAAACCTAACTGTCCTCTTACTCACAGGAACCATTCATCTCCTTTCCCCTCCCATCTCCCGTCGCAGACAACGTACATTTGCTTCTGTCTGTGTAATCACAATGAATGGGTACACAATTCCAGTGTGCCTCTGCCACTGTTGCACAACCAGTTGACTGAGCAAAACCAAAAGGAGCATGAAAGGGGTTCCTTTTATCAGAACAAACAAGTGCTCTCCTTACAAGGTGGGATCGGACAGTTTAAAAATTTTTAAAAATATATAACAAACTGTTGCTCCAATACCCATTTTGAAGAAGTCCAGTCCTTTCTCACTGGTCAGTTGAACAGGAGCAGCCTTTTTTAGACATGCTATGTAAAACCAGTTATGCTCAGCAAGTTGAGTAGTTGGGAAGCCTTCATATTGGAGGTGAAGGATTGGCATTCATTGTGAATTACGTTTTGAGTTCTCCTGCTGTCACATAACCAGCAGCTTTCCATAAGGAATGGGAGCAAAAAGCTTCCAAGATCCAAGTCTTTTTGTCTCAACAAAATTACACTAGATGCCTTTGAGCATCTATAATACCAAGTATCTCTTTGGTTTTGATTCCACTGTTTTTCTAATACCTACATGTTATTGAAAGTTACTCTAGTTATTAAGGGTGCACAAGAATGTGTTAGCACAGATAAAGAAACTATTTTGTTTTAAATATATAGGACAACTGTTTTCATAAATGTGCAATAAAAACAGTAAAGATATACTAGGATATGAGTAGTCAAGAGAAAAGATTGTAATCTGCTGATTTTTCATTGTTTGGAGTAGTTTTTAATTTGTTTAATTTTATTTTTGTGGGAACATTTCACCTGCTGAGTGTATGAGAATTTGCTTTTTAAAAAGGCTTTCTAGAGTTTACAGTAGAATCAATGGAAGGAAAAGTTAATAAGGGCTGTTTTTAAAAACTTTACATTCCTTCCTATTCTCTAACTACACTTGGGAAGTGCACTTTAAAGATGTTTGCTGTGTAGCTGGGAGATGAAGGAAAACTATAGGAAATGTTCTCTTAGGAAATAAAATATAGTTAACTACTTTCTAGCTATGAAACACCCCTTGATAAACATTAATGTTGGAAGAACTTTTAATCACTGGTGCATAATGTGTTTTTGTACACACTCTACAGTCTGTTAAATTCTGGAGAAAAACAAAAAGAAGATACAGCTTAAGCGGTTCAAGATGCACATGTTAAGCTGTGAAAGCTCAAATATTTTGCAAAAGTATTTGTTTTGATAGTGTTTTACTACAACGCGGACAGAAGATCCTAAAATGATCTGTGCAAATATGACAACAGCAAAAAGCACCAGGTAATGCAAAATTCTTCAGTACTGGTCTGTTTCTATAATTCCTCCCTTCCCTTCCTTGCACATGCTATATTTTGTTCAATAAAACATGGTGCTTTTTAGTTATTTTATTTTCTGTTAGAGCCACATGTATTGATTGTATTGAATTGATGCCAAAAGTGGGGAAAAATGTAGAAATGCAAATGAAAAAGCCTTAACTGATGGTAGAATGTAGACTATTGAAAGGACAGTGATGTTACTGAAAAGTGATGGAGCAATAACTGGGCAGTGCTGTGGTACTGTACAACAGCTGATGAGTCACACTACTGAGATAGCTCTTACTAGGTGAGCTCTTGTTCAACTGACCTCTCAATTCTAGTAAGTGTACATGGTCAGTAAACAGTTTGTTATAACCTTTATCTACCTCTGCTGTGCAAAGGCCATCCAACATCCATTTCTGTGATGTTCCTCATAGTTTTTTGTTCACAGTATTACTCATTGTCATCTATTTTTAGGCTGTATCAATACAGTAACCAGTCTGGTTCATCCCAGTTGAATTGGCACATGAAAAAGTGATTATTTCTGTTTTGCCTCATGGTGAATTAACGTAGAGAGCTCTCTTTAAGGTATTTTCTTTCTTCTCTTCTTCTCTTCCTCATCCTTCATCCCTTATTTTTCTATAAAAACGTTTTCAAATGGTGTCAGTGAAAAATATTACTTCTCCACTCCTTGGTTACATTCAGTCGTGTCATACAACATGAGAGAGACATGGGGAAAAACAGTGCCAACACCATCACATGCATAAAGTAGCTAAATTAAACTTGGGCAAAATGAAGCAGAAAACAATTACAGACTTTCAGTTATTACACAAGTACAAGATTTAATAAATTCCTCCCCCCTCTTCCCACCTGGAGTCAGTGCCTGCAGTTCAACGGTCTGTGAATTTTCTCTGTCATCTTTTTTGAGGTTTATTTCTTTAATTTTTGAAACAAAGAGTCATGTTGCAGAGGTGACTACTGCTGGGGTGTCTGTTGCCATTTTCAGTCCAGCAGTATGGTATGCAGCATCTCTTGGTGGCACTTGGGACATCAGGAGTAGAAAAAGACTCTTCTATGAAGTTAAGCAACACGTAATCATGTATGGTGCAAAATTCCATTCCATCCATTCCTCATTCGTAATAGTTTTCCTGGCATAAATTTAAGCATGCTTGATATTGTGCACATATTACTTTTCTGCCAGAATAAATTTGCATCTTGCCACTGCTATAACTGCCATCTTGTTCCATTTCTCCTTGTACTGTATGCCTCGTACATACATGATAAAGAGCTGGCTTAACAAAGAAGTAATACTAAAATATTTCTGCAAATGACTGATGAGAAGGAAAAGAGAAAATAGAAAAATATTTGTTTTATGATCATATGGAAGAGAAAAATTTCCCATGTCCTTTATAGACTTATTTTCTGCAATAGAGAAAATACAGATTTCTTGCAATATGTTAATACTGCTAAGTCAAATGTCCTATAACATAACCAGAGCTATATGTTACTCCTTATTGCATTTTCATTCAGTAATACTTTATATCTATGCTTTTCTTTCATTAAAGAGACAGTATTTTTTTTTTTTAAAGACAGCAACTGAAGGCTGTCCTTCTGCACACCATAATTTAAAGACAAAAACCAACAAAACATTAGAATGAAGTTTTAGTTCTATAAGTTATAAAACCAAGCCATCAGCTGCCAAAGAATCTGTGGAACAATAGATACACATCAAACACAGACTTTCAAGAAATTCATTCTTGAGGGTTAAAAATGTTATTCAAAGTGATTAAAGGAGAAATAATGAGAGCTGTATTTCAAACTGGAGAGATGGCAGGTTTCATCTGGTACATGATGCGTCTCAGCCTATATAGTTATACTCTTCTATTAAAAAGTGAGGGAGGACATTGTCTTCTGCTTTCTCTGTATTTGTTTTGATAACAAATGTCATTTTTGTAAGCATTGCTTCTCTGCACAGAATATACCTGCTTATCATGAGAGCTGAAGATAGCTTATGTACACGCACACAAATTTACACAGTGAAACCTGTCTTAAGCGACTATCCAAAGCACAAGCAAAACTCATTTGCAGAGTAGAGGTAGCTTTAAGGAAAGTGGTACGAATTTGTCTTTGGAGATTTCAAGATACATAAAAATAGTCACCTAAGTAAGGGGTCTGTGAAGGTGCCTAGTCCTTACCACAGCTTTCACTGTGTATCTTCTCAGTGCCACAGCCCCACAATGATCCTTGCGTAGGCAGGCTTTGAGCTAGGCTCAGAGTCAGGCTGACTTCAGCGTGCCTTGGTATAGATACAGGCACACACCCACGAAAAATTCACTGTAGCACATAGGTCTCGATTTGTTGTCCCGTAGTCTTTACTCAGGAATTGCTTGTGGACATAGTACACCAACAGAGAATCACTGGGTTCAGCCCTAGCCAAATAAGTCTTAGCAAGAGACTGGCAATGGCATATTAAAGGTGAATGGTTCTGTTTTATTATTATTATTGTCTACTATTCTATTAGTTTGGTGAAGGAGTGGTTTCAAAATTCAGCTAGGAGCATGAAGAACAATCTAACAGAAATCTTATCGTTGCAAAGATGAAATTAAATAGCCTTTCTGAGGTAAAAAGAGTCTATCATTTATCAGCAGCTGTGAGGAAACCTCATTATTTTATAGGATCTTGGTAAAATATATGGTCAGTTCTGAATATTATAGTTCTCATTAAAACTAGATTTTTGGATGACAAATAAGACTCGATCACATACCATCTAAATTGAGGGATTTAATTTGCCAGTATGTTCTGCAACAAATCTGAGAAATCATGTTTACTGAACACCTCTAAGTTTTCCAGTTTTTCCCAGCATATTTTCAAATGTTAATAAGCTTGATCTGTCCCTGGAGGGGAAAGAAGGGAGAGAGAACTACTGTGAGTGATGAAACTAAAACAAAACAAACAAACAAACAAAAAAATAGAACTGGGCCAACTTGGAAAATCCATCTGGGAAACAAGCTACACTTCTTCAAAATATAACACAGATGCAAAAAAAAAAAAAAAAAAAAGATGCATACGTAGATGTAGCTCTACACAGAAATAATTCTATTTTAA